ATTATTGTCTATTAAAATACTATTATCTATTTGTCGTGGCCGAATTTTGCTATTCAAAAGGCTTTTTAATGGCTGCATCGATCGACATGCAGTTTTCGCAAGAATATTCTTTAAAATATTCTCCAGATCATGACGCCCTTGTTTTTTTTTCAGTTTTGAGACAGTTTTGCTGCAAAAATCTTAATTTCTTTATTTCGCCGATCGCTTTTGTAGGCCGACGCTTCTGTCTCTTTAATTTTAGAAAACACGGAAGTGATATTTCGCGAAGCGCATTTTGTTTTGAGAGTATAGATCTAGACCTTCGAATTTTTTGCATCTTTCAAGATGTATTGCTCCATTCCAGTAAAGTGTAAATATAATAGGCCAATGACTTTCAGTTGATGTTAATGCACCGATTATTCCTTTCATCGAAAGGGGGGCCAGCTAGTTGTTTTTATTGCTGCTCATATATATTATGCAAGTGATTTTAAGCCTACGTGTGTGCATGTGTGTGCACGTGTGTGTGTGTGTGTGTGTGTGTGTGTGTGTGTGTGTGTGTGTGTGTGTGTACTCGTGGTGAAACACCAAACCAATGTGCCAGGATCTGGACAATAAAGAAGTATCTTATCTTATCTTATCTTATCTTATCTTATCTTAAAAAGAAAATCACTTTAAAAAATACAGATCTGTCCATCTGTCCTTCCTCCAGTCTGTGGGAAATGCATAGGAAGAAATAAATACATAGTCGTAAACTGCACAACATTAAGCCCACACTTTGTCCACGAAAACCTTCGGGCCTCTCCAGAAGAGACGAAGTTGTTTTTACTCGATTACGCATTGGACACACGCCCCAACACAGGGAGATGAGAAACCGTTCTGTGTTGAATGTGACACAGATTTTACCATTAGACACATCTTAACAGAACATCCAGACTTCGGAGAGACCCGAGGGAAACATTTTAAAAGCAAAAAATTGCAAGATCTATTCTCTGTCGTTGATCCCAGCAGAATTCTCGATTTTATGAAGGCCATTGACCTTTACAGAAAATTGTAAATACAGTTATTTTGATTTTAATAATAGTAGGTTGTATTTTTGAAATTTATAACATTTTAAATCTGATCGATGACCTACGTCGAGCCGTGCTGTGAACTGTTGTGAACGCAACCAACTTGTGTTTCGCACGCTCATATGACCTTATGCAGTCGCGACCGCTGTAAAGGTCTTACTAAAACATAAAACAAACAATCTTTCCTTTGTAACAGGTGCCTGGAGGACCTCCAAGCAAGTCCGTTCAAAATTCTCTGCATTGTTTCTATACGTCTGATTCGCTTTACTCCTTGACTAAAATTTAATGACAGTAGTACTAATCTAATCGTATCGAAACAGATTGCATCTCTCTACATAATGTAGTTCAACATTTAGCAAATTATTACCTATTCATGATTCCTGGAATGATGCAGACGCCACAATGTTTCAACATTTTCAAACAATCCCTTCCCTTTTCAAAAAGAATAAAAATAAGGAAACTCTCTCATAACAAAATAACATAGCATAGTGACTTACAAATTTATTAGCGAAAGGGAAGATTGCACCCAATAAAAAGATGCCCAGGACAGGTCCTCCTGTAGCACCTAGAGCCGTATACGTCACCTGGGGATAATATCTGGCAATTTAGTTTGGTAAAAGTTTTATAGCGCTCGCAACCACATATGATTGGACATCTTGACGTTAGTTCAAATCTCAAAGGGAGAAGAGTTTTAACAAAGTATCTCTGTCCTCTCGGACTGCATATCCAATTCAGCTCGAGTTAGCCTAAACAGTTTGTTTGAGTAACGAGAAGCACATCGAAACCATAATGGTCATTATTTCGTGTTTCATAGAAAGGTATATTTAGTACTCTAAACTATTCACAGTCAGTGTAGCTTACGCTCTATATTCTACTCACTTGAGTTACTGGTCCTGTCATCTCTTTGGCTAGGTAGGCCAAGCCAATGATACCAGCCCCGTACAGACACACTGGGAACGACAAAACGAGGACATACACTTTCTTATGCAAATAAAGCTCATGTTTTACTGTTAACATTCTCGCATTACAAAAAAGTTCAACTCAGAGTAAAGCCTCAATCAGTTCTTCCCCACCTTTCTCCCTCATTTTTAGAATTAACGATGTCAAGAACTTGAAAAGAAATGGGTTATCAAATCCCAGATTAATTTGCTTGGTCATGCAGATATCCTACTAATACACTGTGCGGGGTATTACAAGGAAGCCACCTAAATAATCTGTTATAATATCTATCTATCTATCTATCTATCTATCTATCTATCTATCTATCTATCTATCTATCTATCGATCTATCGATCTATCGATCTATTTTGCCTAATTTGTGATGTTTCCTTTTAACTGCAGGTATCTCAGCACATTACGTGAACGGCGGAATTATGCACGACCTGATAAGAAGTTCTCAAGACTAATGCAATGGCTCGACTTCTTTATGTCAAAATAAAACATCGGTGACCTCATTGTATCTTATGTTCTTTTTATACCCAGTCACAACCTTATTTGATACGTGAGTTTTGATGTCTACCATTATTTCCTGCTCCTACATTTTTACAGATGAGCATTGTTTCTGGTCTGTTCGCTGAAAAAACAAAAGTCTGTCCCCAAGTTCTGACATTTCGTAACAACAACAACAACAACAACAACAACAACAACAACAACAACAACAACAACAACAGCAACAACAACAGCAACAACAACAACAACAACAACTTGTTATGAACATCGAAAAGCTGCTGGAATCAGAATGAGTTTATTGTAGTTATCCAAATTATTGAAGTACTAATACTAACAGGCCTTTAATTGGCTGCTTAGAGCCTTCAAGTCAGGACCAACTCGGTCTATATGGATATGTACATTATTATTATAGATGGGCCAAATTTATTGGTCGAATTCTACTGTTACTGTTATGCTAGAATCTCAGCTTACAACTTTGTCTTTACTTAGAAAAGATGACAAGCTTAGTTCTACGTCAAAAAGATTGTGAAGTGCGAGAGTGACGGCCAACCAGTTTTAGGTAAGGGAATTGGACCCCTTGTAAATCCCTTCGGACCCAAGAATTTGAACGTCTTGGCTCAGGTACCAAGTATTTAGTATTAGTATGTAGTATTAGTATCATTAGCCAAAATAGCGGCGACCGTGGAGGTTTCGGAGTAATTCAAAATTATTCTTTCGCTTTATACTATTTGATAATTATACCTCCACCCCTTCCCCTTAATTACAAAGATGGGACAGGGGGCGGCACCCATAGATAATTGGTGATCTAAAAGCGCTCGTTTTATTTCTTAATCTTCGGCATTTATATGACCTTACCTATTGTGTTGCAAGCGCCGTAAAACTCTCACTAAAGCTATCACTGATCACACTATCTGCAAACGTTACACAAGAAGCTGTCCGACCTGAGGTCAGACAAGTCGGACATTCGAGAGTGTTTCAAATTTTTGTGCTGTTTTTTTTTCGAAAATAAATTGTTAGTATAAATTCCATGACGATGAATCATGATTGTAATTCAATAGTGTATGGAGTCTACTTCTATTTTTTTTCCAAGAGAATCTGTTACATTCAGGGAGAGTGAAAATCAATCAGTGTGAGCAAAATCGTAAAAAGTAATGACTAATTATAATTTATATGGTATGTTTTCCACGTGCTTGTCAGACCAGACGAGCCCAGGCCTGAAAAATCAGCGGGGAAAATCGTGGCAACCATATTTAAAAAAAAAGTTTTGGGACGTTTGTGGTATACTTATCACAGATTTTTTAACCATGTGACATGTGGGGCAGATGCCAATTCTGAAGTCAATGTTGAAACACTGAAACGACTGCACGAAAGCATTTCTATACTCTATCTATACTCTATGTATTATATAATATGTGAAACTTCACATTTTCGCAGCCTAAAACTTCCGAACGACTTAGCTTTCTAATTTGACCAAATTAATATGGTGTTTAGTTTCAGAATCATTAAAAAAAGGGTGCAGAGTTTCATTGACGAGCCTGAAGTCATTGTAGTTTAATTTTCAGTTTTTCATTAGTTTCGTTTAGATCTAATCTTGGGAAAGTCCGTCTTCTAAGACGTCATTGTAAACAAGCGAGGTTTCCGTTCATTAGCCGTGCGCAGATTCCACACCTTTGAAATTAAGGGGTGTACACACGAAAGCGGAATAGAGAATCAATCGATAAATCTATTATATAATTATAAATTATATAATTATAATATTTGGCAACTTGGAAATTCACGTGCCACTTTTCTCTCAAGACTTATAGCTCCATTTCAGCAGAGTGTAAAGAGAGTAGGCCAATATGACTTTCAGTTGATGTTAATGCACCGATCATTCCTTTCATCGAAAGGGGCCCTGCCAGTATGATCTAGGCACTTCAGTGAAATTTTCAAACTTCTCCGAGGGCACTAAAATTTAGATTATTGAAAAGAGCTTAATTGGCTTTCTGTTTTCAGAGCTTTTTAAATTTTTGTGCTATCTTTGCTAGTTCAGAAGCAGCGACCATTTTTGTGAATCAATTTTCACTCTGATTTGGTCAAATTTTTGCACTGCATTTTGTGCCACCAAAACTCGAAATTTTGCTTCATAACGTCATAAAATCCTTAATAAAAGTTGTAACGTAACCATTGAGGTATCATTTTGTTTGTTGTTTTATGTAGAATCAATATATAAGCATACGTCAAGTACCTTAAGAGTAAAATTCTATTTACCGTTTAATTACGTCATAAGCGTGACGCCGGGAGTCCGATGCCTATTATCCCAAAAAAGAAACGGGCACACTTTCCATAATAATGGTCCGATTTTCAAAAGAAAAACAGTACTCATTTTGTTTTAAAGAGTTCTTTAACTTGCTATTGGGATAAAATGGTTAAAATTGAAAGCAGTTTCAATCTTACAATACATGCATAACTCAAGCAGGAGGTTGGCGGGTGCTCTGGGGTGTGGTTTGCTCCTTTTTTCCCTATTAACAGTCAATCGTCCTTATCTGCCCTTGTTCTTTTCCGTATGTTACTCTCTTGTAGCACCTCTAATCTTCGGGGCTTATATGACCTATTTTTGCTGCAAGTGCCGTTAAACCCAAGCTAAAACTAAACTAAAAAAGCATAACAACACAGACTTGAAGAATATATAAAAAATTCAACGAGTATGGTATAAAGCGGGAAATCACCATAGAATATGATCATTACTGAGGGTCATCAAATACCGATATAATGACTCATACCCCGAAGAACAGCGACATCAGTTCTATGATCAACTGAGTAACCTTTTAAACACCATGGATGACAAAGATAATGTGACAATCATGGGGGACTTAAACGGCAGAGTGGAAACAAGGAAGACGACGTGTGAGAGATGCATGCGGCCACACAGTGACAGAGAAACAGATGAAAACAGCAATGGAAAAATGCTATTACTATTACAATTTGTTTTTATGCAAAACATGACCTCGTCATATCAAATACCTTCATCCAACACAAAAGGAGTCAAGTTAAAACTTGGTACAAATATCAAATGGAATTGCCTAAAGATAGCATCACAAATTGATTTTATCCGGGCCAAAAGATCGAAACTGAGAAAAATCAGAGACTCAAGAGTGATTCCCATCTACGTCACAGACACTGACCACCGACCAGTCATCATGACTATTGACACACCAAGCAAGAAAAGGCCAGAAGCAAAGAAACGACGAGAAGTCGTAAATCTCAGAAATATAAATAACAATACCATAGATAAGATACTTGAACGTTTGAAAGATGTATTTCACAAATTTCCCCAAAACCGGGAGACATTGAAGAGGAATGGAGCAGGTGTGAACAGATCATTAAAAGAAGAGTGCGGCACCAGGAAAACAAGAGGGCAGAAAATGAAAACAACTATATATATGGTGGAATGACCAAGTGAAGGAAGCCATCCACTTCATCCAGCTGAAGAAAAAGGCATTGAAAAAGTGGAAGAAATCAAAGACAGGAAGATTACATCCTATACAGAAAGGAACGCCGCTAAACATCAAGGGTAGTAAAAGAAGCTAAGAACAGATCCTGGACAGTATATGGAGAACAGCTGGTGACAAAACGTAAAGAAGAACCTTGAAAGTTTTAGTTTTACAAGAGAGTTAAAAAAGCATGAGAATGCGGGAAGAACCATTCAACCCAACTGAAATAGTCAATGATGAGAACGGAAAACCTATTTTCAGATAGCCAAAGATTAAAGAAAGATGGAAACGCTATTTCCAGGAGCTGCTGAATCCTACAGCAGAAACAACAGCAAACAACTTCTCACCGAAAGAAACCACTCCAGAACCATCAAAACTGCTGAGTGAAACCCAACATGTAATAAAGAAAAGCCCCGCAAACAAAGTGATAGGCGTTAAAAACATCACAGCAGAAGAGATCAAACTATACTACCATATCGGAGAACTCTGGTTACGGAAGATATTGAACCTGGCCTGGGCGACAAAAACAACACAGAGCCTACAGAGGAATATCCCTTCTCAGCCGTGTGGATATAGCGTTTGCCAAGATACTGGACATGAGAATGAGACCAATTGTAGAGACTCAACACAATGAATCCGAGTTTGGTTTCAGAAAAGGCAGGGGCTGTCCTGAAGCTTTTTTGCATTCAGATAGTTGTGTGAGACTGCCATTGGACATGACAAGACCTCAATATCGTCTTCGTGGACCTCGAAAAGGCGTTCGACAGGGTAAATAAATGTCAACTTTGGGAAGTCTTAGAGGTTTTAGTAGAGGTTTTACGGCACTGGCTACTGCATAAGGTCATATGAGCACCAAGGGGTGGGTGTCAACAGAGAAGTCCTTACAGGGAATCAGACTTACTCTGTTCACCTCTCTAGCTTCAACAGCACAAAGTCTGCTTCGACTGTCAAGGCACCACGGATACAGCGGGTCACAAGAGTGTGACAAACATACAAAGAAGCAGAGGAAAATGACGATAGTAAGGATTAGGAAAGAAAAAACCGCAGTTCCCTGTAATAGTTCAGGCACAGTTATGAGCATGACATTGTTCGATCAGCCCATTTACAATTCTACTGTGCATTAGAACGAGAAATGTCCCCCCTTTGGGAATGGCCTAAAGATACTTCAGTCAGTTGCACCGCCACTTAGTCTTAGAGGAATAGGGTTTAAAAGGACAATTGCTGGAGAACATCATGGCACTTTTAAAAAAACAGCCTGTGTGCCGTAAGGTCAACAGAAGGACTATCGGACTGGTTCCCCATCAAGTATGAGGTGAGACAAGGGTGTGTTCTCTCTCCACTTCTCATCATCACTTACATGGATAAGATCACGAAAGTAGCAAATGACAACATCAATGAACTGAACGAGCTTCTATTTGCTGATGACCACAGTACATTAAATACAGACGAAGAGAAATCACAAAAACACCACAAAATTAATTAATGAGGAATGTAAACACCTAAACATGAAAATCTCCATGTCAAAAACAGAA